GGTCCCAAGTCCCAGGTCGCTTTTACCACCAACTCAACTCAACTCAGTCACCATTCTGCAGCATATGGCTGTTACACATTTCGTATTTTTTCACGTTTTCTGTGTGCTACCAATAAATTTCCGAAATACCTTATACCTTCTTGCCTTACCTGGCCAGAGTAATTTTTTCATTAGCGCGTTCAGCGTGGCGGAGCTCATTTCTAAGTAGCCTTTCAGTGGAAGCAAAAGGGAGAAGATCTTTTGGTAGTAAGGGCGCAACACGAGTACTTGAAACAATTGCAGCAATTGGAAAATTTCAACAACTTTTTGAGGGAACCGCCTTGGCTTGCTAGCTGGCCAAAAAGGAGGGTCACTTAGAGCATTTGTGAGTTTATCTGACAGGAATGGGGCAGTTATTTATGAAGGTCTTTAACCAGAGACAAGTGGGAGTAAATGTTTTTAGGGTTTATTTTGGAAAATTTAAGGAAAAAGGTGTTCTTAAGAAATTAACATTTTTTTTGGAGCTACCAATCTTAAGAAATTTATGTTACTATTTTAAGAGGTAACTTGTTATAGTTATATTAAATAGTTTCTAAAAACAGGTTTAAACTTTTAAAGGTATTTCTATCTATAACCTAAACCTTTCAACCTAAACCTTTCCCCAATGTTTAAATGCCATTCTCCTGCATCGTTTTTTACTTTTTAAAAGGAATTTCGTACTGTCCGAAACCGATAAAACTTTCGTAATCAGCATTGATGGCTTGACCATCTCGCTTTTCTGCCCCTTTCCAAGTGCCACAAGTGTAGAAAACGAAGAATTCCTATGTGCAACGTTCGACCGAGCTGTTGTTGTTATTGCTGGCTTTTTAGAATTGCATTTTTATTGTCTGCCACTTTGTTGTTACCAATGTTGGCGAGTGGTGGCCTGCCTTCCACTTTTTTTTGTTCTTGTTCCTCAGTCGTTTTGTTGTTGTGGTTGTTGTTGTATAAATAAACCATATGGTTAAAAGCGTAGCAGAATAATTCTACGAGCTGGCCTGCCTTTTTCTTACTTGGCTGCCCATCGTCAACGCTTCTTGTCTCTCTTGTTCTTGGTTTTATTTATTTTTTTTTTCCTGTAGAATTTTGGTGGTGGTTCTGTTTTCTTTGGTGGTTATATGGCTATAATACCTTATACCTTCTAACTGTGCTGGCAGTGTTGTTTTTGCTGTGTATGCGGCTGGGATGATGGAGTTCTGCTTGAGTGCGTTTGTAAATGTTTTATCAAAATGTCTTGTGCCGTTCGCCCTCTCTTTCTGGCTTTTCTGGCTTTGTGTTACATTTATACGTACCTCGCATCGCACGATCATTAACCGCAAAACATTATTGTGGCATGTTCGCTTGCTGGTTCATCCTCTGCTTCTGTTGCTTCCTACACATGGAAAAAAATTTCATCAAAATCGGTTAACTAATTTGCTTTTTCACAGGAAAATGGCAAAACAAATTGTATTTGCGGGGCTAGATTTAAAATATTTGAAACTGAAAAAAGATTATAAATATTTCTTGAAAATGTCAAATTTTGTAGCGGAGTTCCAAACTAATAATAATAAACCTTATTAGCCAGGTTGTTTTAAATATTGTATTTTCAATATTCTTAATTTTTCTCCGTGTATGTGCCACCTTGTCTCACCTTTCCTTTTCCTTTCCATTTCCCCTCCTGATTTTGTTGTTTGTTCAGCTTGGCTTGGCGATTCTCGGAACTGGGGCCGCAAAATATGTTGCACAACGCCACAAATGGCTAAAATTGCAGAGCCTAAAAATCGCCTCGGTCGTCTCCTAAATCTTTTACCCCCAACCCAACCCAAGCCAACCCAACCCAATCCATTTAAATCTTGGTGACCTCTACTACGATGGCGCCAACTGGGAGGTGCCTGTTGTCACAGAATATTTAGACGGCTTTAGATATAGATACTGTTGCCAAGTGTCAGCGATTTCCCAGACAGCTAGCAGACACAAAAAAGGGCAGCATCAATGAAAACGACGCCGGCAAAAGCGCGCACACAGCTATTGATAGATATACGGATACAAATACATCTATAGATATATGGCTATAAAGATGCATAGATACATCCGAGTGCTTTCGGCTCCGTCTGATTTTCTATTTTGTTTTTTTCCCCCAAGTCTCTTTCTCTCTCTCTCTTTCAAATCGATCGATTTCATGCGCTGCGACAAGTCGTAAATCACACGCCAGACCGACCGCCTGCAGTATCCACCAGATACTATGTATCCGAGCGGCCCTTTCAAAAGTTTTTCGCTTCGTATCAATTCGATTTCATGGCGCTTTATTTACGCACTGCAAATCAAAGACGTAGCCAACTAATTACTGAATTAAAAGCACATTAAACGCGTCCATTGACTTGAAGTTGCTTTTAAAGCTGTGAAAATGCATCTTAATTGTTCGATACCATGAAAATCATTTGGCAGAAAGTGTGTAGAATAGGATTAAAAAGTTGATGGTTGTGGGAAAAAAAGGAGAATGTTAAGACATTTCATTTATATATGTTATTTAGTTTCATAAAAAATCCGTAAGTGGTTAATAACATACTCGAAATCGATTAATCTGAGTTCTGATTGCTCTCAAACTGCCCACTTGCAGTTGCAACCTGCAGATGCTCGACTTATCTTTCAGATGGACCCATTTAAGCTGAGCACATTCCAGGAACCATATCGTTTAACGAACGAAGGCAGGGAAAAGAGTATCATTAAATGCGAGCATCCAACAGCAGGGCATTTAATCACTGGTCTTGCAGAGCAAAGCTCTTCGCTGCTGCTGCTGCTGTTGCGGCTCGGGATATGTTTCAATAAATTCCAGCAAATCAAAACATACAAAACATACTCCATTCTCCAGGGGAAAATGGCGGGGAAGTTGTGGACTTGAGAATGGGGATCCCAAGAACCAAGAACTGGGCGCACGCGTAATGGATAATGAATGCGCGAATGCCTCGCGGCGGCATCTGCGCATAAGTCAATGCAACCACAACTTCACTCCACTCCACTCCGCTGCTGCTGGTCAGCGCTCTGATTCTGATTCTCATTCTTATTCTCATTCCGATTCTACTCGATGGATGGCAGTGGCAATGGCAGCCTTGCCCTTAGCACAAAGGAGCTTTACGAGGCAGTCATCATCGAAGGCAGAGCAAAAAATACTACAGCCAATACATCGGCCAAACCAGAAGACGACGTTATGGTTCATAAAGCAAAAAACTAAGAAAGAAGGAATTACATGAATGAAAGGTTTATCAGTTCCAAATAGATGCTCAAATACCCTTAGTTTGACGGAGAGATTGTAGGGATTTTGTTTTATATGTGGTCTTATCAGCACTTTAAAAAACTTTAGTTTAGATTGTATAGAAATATGATTTCGTATTAAAAAAAGTGATAAAAAAAAAGGGATTTTTTATGTTTTATAAATATTTTATTCAAGATTTAGTTTGTTAGTTTGTTTCTATATAGAATAGAGGGTAAGGATTTTATAGCTAGGAGTAAATACTTTTCTGCTAAATTGCAATCCCTGCCTGTTGCTTCGTCCATTACAAATCTCTTGTTAATTTGTGCATACCTTTTTTTTTTGTTTTTGGGGGGCAGGGCAACGTTGAGCGAGAATGAATAAGAGCCCAAGAGCAGCAACAGCCGCCAAACATTGGAAAAACATCTGCTGTTTCCACTGCCAGTTGATGAACTCGATTCATGCCGTTTCACTCGCTCCAATTGAAGCCGAGCATGGCTTCTCTCGTTCGCGCGTCTGTTGCGCAGGCGCACAAGTACACGGTACTATAGTACACCCATACAGTGGCGGTCGAAATTATAGCAACGACATTGAAAAATTATTTGTCTTTAAATAATTAATCCAGCAAAGATGTTGAGAGTGATCATCAAAGGTTTTTTAAATTTTGGTGTCCTAAAAGGCATTATATATTTTATAAAAAAAAACATTTTTGGAAAAAATTTCTCTATAATAAAATGTGTTATTTCTATCGGTGCAAAAATATACATGATCTTTAAAAGCAATCTTTATAGTGATTGAATATAAACAACTTTACATTCCGCTGACAATAAATATAAGAAATATGTAAAAAAAAATTTTTTTTGGCAACTATAAAGAAATATGTAAAATAATTTTTTTTTTTTTGAGAAAACAGATACTTTATCCATTAAGTCATTGCAAAAAAACCGACAGTACACTTAACATTTTTTTAATTAAGATTCCCAAGCAATACAGACATAAAATTAAAAAAATAGATTAAACTCCAGGACAATTATTTAAACCGAGCTGTAGGTACTACTCACATTAGTACACAGAACGGCTGGCACTTCCACTGGTGGCCCTCCGCCTTCTTAGCGGCCCTCGATCGCCTTCTTTTATTTTTTTTTTGGTCGTCTTCAATGCTTTTCCATTTATAATTCTCATGCCTCGCTGCAATGCATTTTCACCCCTCCGGAGCGGAGTTCGCTTACGCTCGTTCTGTGTCTTTTTTAATTTGGTTCACAAAATACCTCGCGTTGTTGTTGAAATTCTTTGGCAATCGACCGCTCTCGTTCCCTCTCGCTCTACGTCTGCCGTATGCCCGTCTCTGTCGCACCCGGCTTTTGTCTGGCCTTTGCTGCTCGATTTTTGACAGGTGGTGGAGTTTTGTATTCAATTTCTTTTGGGCTCGGGACTTGAAGCGTCTTGCAGCGACTTTTGCTCTTGGGTTCGGTTTGGTTTGGGTTTGGGTTTGGGTTTGAGTTTGAGTTTTTTTTTTCGGTCTGTATTTTTGCCTATTCATAAAAATTGAAAATGAGCTCAGACAGCAGCAGGAGCAAAGGAGCAAAGCAGCAAAGGAGCAGACAAAAGATTGCCAGACATATGGAGAGTTTGGCTGTAAGGATGCTGTCTGTGTGTAGATGAGAATGCTTCAGTTCAATGCACTTTATGAAATTAGTTTTGCGTTTTGGTACTAATTGGATTCTCTTCTCTCTTTTCTGCTCGGTTTCTTTTCCAGGATGCGGCTGCTGTAGGAGGAGGACGAGACCAGACGAGATCATAAGCCAGAAGAGTAGCAATGTCCCAGCAAGTGTTCTCGGCGCATCCAGCGCTGGCGGTGGAGCAGCTGCAGCTGGCGGAACAGGAGGAGCACCAAACGAGTAGTAATCATCACCAGCAGCAGCGATCGAGCAGGCGGCATGCCAAGGCCACACCCAAAAAGTTCACCCTGAGCAGAAGCTGTGCGGGATCGGGAACGCTGAGCGGCATCCACCAGCAGCCAGCCACGCCAGCCAATAGTTCATCATCAGCCCAACCTGCCATCAGTTCGGAGTCCAGGAAAACCCTGCCCGTGCGAACAAACTATGCGGCAGTGGATGACGATGATGACATCGAATGCGAGGATGTGGATGAGGTGAACTTTGGCCAGCGTGAAAAGCAGGACAAGCAGGAGAAGGAGACTCGGCAAACAACCAAAGACTGTGGCATTGATGAAACGGATCATGTGCAGCAGCGACACAAACACACAACAACGACATCAACGACAAGTAGGCTTCATCACCAAGATGTAGGCGGAGGAGGAGGAGGAGGAGGTGGTGGTGGTGACCAGAGTGACTTGAGCAGCGTGATCAGTTCGCCATCGGTTAGCACAGTATCCTCGCCCCTTTCCACGCCCACTCGGCTGCCGCAGGCATTGCAGCAGCAGCTCCACTGTTGCCCGAAATCCAAAGGTGTGGAATCCCGGGCGAGAACATTACCGCAGCTGAATCAGCATCCGCACAGGCACCATCAGCAGCAGCAGCACCATCATCACCACCATCATCATCATCTCACGGCAGCGGGCTGTGCGGGTGGAGGAGGTGGATCCTCTGGCGGGGCAACTGGATCATCTGGATCATCCTCCTGCAAAGCCAAGAAGCTCGATCCCCGACTGAATCCCTCGCCCTATCGCCAGCTATTGCCCATCGCCCTGTGCCTGCTCTCCTTTGCAACCGTCTTTGCCACACTAATAGTTTACATGGACACGACAGGTGAGTCCTCTTCTCTTCTATGGTATACATATCCTGTCCAGTGTTTACTTATTTAAATTTGATATCTTTGGCATATGTCATCTGGTTTGGGTTGCGTTTTAACCAAATACAATATTTTTTTCCAACCGGATGTAGGCTGTGTTTGCCTTGCCTGAAGATCCGTTTCTCTCTGTATTTTTTTTTTTTTGTATTGTATTGTCTTTTTTGGAAAGGTTGTCCTTTCCCCATAATGGGCACACTTTTAAGATTAGTTTATGCTTCTTCTAAAACTGGCCAGCAGCAGCGCATCTTTTGTCATAGATCGCTGCGTTTTTTTTTGTTTCCACTCTCTGTGGAGTTTATTTAAGGTCTGCATTTTTTATTTTTGCCAATATCTTTTTGGCGTGGGCGCAGTGGCGCTTCCTGTCGACAATCGCTTGGCAACAGGGCAATATCGCAGCTGTCGCTGCTGTTTGCTTTGCCTTCGCTGTTGCTGTTGTTGTTGCTGTTGTCATTGCCCCAAAACGTTGCCATCATCAATGAGGCAGCCCAGACACGTGCTGCGTGGTGGAGCCTCCGCTTCAAAGACAACCGCCTCCAACGTCAGAGGAATATCTAATTGCCATTGTAGAAGTACTATACTTTGCCATCGTTTGAGGAGCCATTATGGCTGGTTGACTGACTGGAAAGAGTTTAAATAGGTGTTTGGTAACAAGAGAGAAATTATTGTGGGTTCTTTCAAGGAATTCTAATGAATCTTACTATTATCATAGTAAAACCATACCCTAAAGTTTGTTCCCTCCCAATCCTTTTTAAAAACTAAATTGTTATTTTGTAAAATTACTATAATGCTCATATTAAGGAGTAGAGTATTATTATGTGTAGGAGTAGACAATAAAATAGAACTTTAAAGTTCTTAAACAAAAAAATATATTACCAAAAAAAGAAAGAAAAATTTTGTTCTGGTGAAATAGGTAAATTCATTTAATTCTTGTAAATGCACGTTCCTTAGTTATTGATAAGTTTTATAGAACATGGTTTACTTAGCCATCCGATAAGAAAAGAATTTTGCAAATATTTAATCACATAAAGATATCTAAAGAGTGCCATGATAAGCTGTTGATTTGCAAGAAAATTTCTGGGTTCGCAAGCTCTATCTCTTTCGTTTCAAACAAAGCCTTCCCTTGAATGATCCGCATCGTAAACCTTGTGACTTGTCTAGATCCGAACGAGAACGATGACGCACTTAGTTAGCTTGGCCATCTATCCACATTATTGTCCAGATCGCGGACAGCTGTCGGATGGGGCAATTTCTTTTAATTCGCTAAAATATTTTGTTGTCGCCGAGACGACCAAATTACAGAAGTACAGCCCGCCGAATGCCTGTGTGTAAATTTTCGTTGCGAACTCGTCGTCGCTGGTCTAGTACGAAAAGTACAAAATAAATTTGCTTAATTCGTATTGCCTGTGGCGCTCGCTTGCTCAATGAAAGCGGAAAGTATTTTACCAGCGAAATTGTTTTGCATATGATGTGAGCTCGCTCGCTGACGATGGATGATCGTCAACGCTGGCGCCGGGTATTATTGGATGATTCATATATACCCATCAGAGTGACTAAGGGCTACTAAGAGTAAACACCCCAGACCAGAGTCCAAAAAATCAATGTCAGTCCATTGTTGTTGCAGCTGTAAAAATCCACAACATCCACTTCTAAAGAAGAGGCATTTTAAAATTCCACTCGGGTGTTGGCAATTTTCGCTTTGACGTTGACTGTTTGCTTCCTTTTGGCACATTGACTTCTTCCGTAGCGCCAACTTCTTCCTTCCTCTTTTTTTTCTCTCACTCGGTGTCTGAAGAATTTTATGCAAATGTTGTAGGGAATTGAATTTTAACAGCGCCATTTGCCAGCTGATTGAACAAGATTTGCATTTGTATTAACAACACCGTTTTTGGGATTTGCCATAAAGTTCACACCTAATATATTTCAGTTTTTTCTTTAAAGAAATAGTTAAGGTTTTTTTTTAGACTATATGAATACAAATATTTATTGTTTACAGTTTATGAGTCTGCTTATCAAATATCAAACTTGTTACTATATTTCATATTTTATAAATATAAATAAATATAAATATAAATAAATTTTATTACGCACATATCAAAATTGATATTAAATTCATGGCTTGAATCTGTCATTTTTCCCCCTTGTGGTTAATTGCCATTAAAAACTGTATAAAATATCAAAATTGTTATTGAATTTCGAATTTTATTTATTTATGCATACAATTTTTCGATTGATTCCAGATTCCACACTTTTGATTCGGTGTATAAATCAAAATTGTTATTGAATTCATGGCTTGACTCTGTCACTTTTTGTGGCTTCCCCCTTGTGGTTTATTGCCATTAAAAGCTGTATAAAATCGAAATGATGATTGCTGCTGATTTCTTGCTATAAATTTGTAATTTCATGCACTCAGTTAAGTTCTCATAAAGGGTTATAATTCAACATCTTATTGGCTGTAATATCCGATTCCTTTTGTTTTTCGTCGCCACGTCGACTAGACTTGGCTGGTTTTTCATTTTAATTCGATTCGAATGGGTTCGACGAAGGTCTGCTGATATTTCCAAGTTGGGCGTGTCACTTGTCGACTGAAGTTGCTGCTGCTGGACAGCTCCATTTTTATGGCTCATTGATGGCTCTATTAGGTTTATACGAGCAAACGACGGATTCATAAACAAAAATAATCATAAATTAGGCATTCCTTCTTCTGCTCATTCTTATTTTGAATACAAATTGGACACGTTCCGTGCGCAGGAACAAAGGTTGAGGTTGAGAAGTTTCAAGCTTTGTGCGCTCGGTTGAAAATTTCTTCAAATCATGCACTTGACAGAACCAAAGTCAAACCGAAATGCGCTTATTAAAGTGACAAATTTTTTTTATGGATTTTTCGGTTTATTTTTTTTTTTGGAATGTGTGTCGTTGGAGGTAGCCAAAAATTCCCAAAGCTGATAAACCTCTGATCATGACTTTTCAGAACCCAAATACCATTTTTTCTGCTTGCCTACGCTCTTTTTGTTACAAATTTAACCTCGACCGCTTTTTGTTTCCATTTCTTCGGCACTTCTGTAATTCTCATGGCTATGATAGTGGTGATGATGATGATGATGGTCCCCCACAATCCAATCCCTAGATTTGTTGTAACAGTCACGTTCCAGTTTTGATTGTTGCAATGACCCAAGCACTTTTGCGTTTTTCTCTGGGGAGAGATTCGGAATCGTAAATTGCATTTGATGTTTGGCGGCATTTTTTAAGAATGTGGTGATCCTTTCGCTGGGAAAATCTAACTAAGAAAGGTATAAAAAAATTCTAGTAATCACAAGAGTAAGAGGTAATTATAGAGCTACAAATAAAATTACCATAATTATAAGGCCTGTATGTTTTTCCACTTGGAAAGTTAGGCAATGATTTTGCATAAAAACAACCATTAGATTAATTTAAATAAATTGAGTGGCAATTATCCCAAGTATAAACTAGTAGTTTAGTTTATTTACCAGAGCATGGTTTTAACATTATAATTGGTTTTCATAATCTTTGGCGTTTTAATTAATTTTTTCTTTAATTATATGTTATTTGGTTTAAATATTAATTTAAGTCTTAGTCTGATTTAAAATTAATCTATTTGACTTCTTTTAAGACAGCGAGGTTATTGAACTTTGACTTAACTGCTGGTATTTACCATTTAAACGTTTCTCGATATGTTTGCTATTTGCCAAACTGGATGAAAAAATCATTTATTGTTAAGAACTGGTTCTACCAATATAGCAAGAAGTATAATTTATTTATAGCACATTCCATCAACATATTTCCACTTAAATTGAATGTATAACACATGTCGATGTTCAATAAAATGAATTTTCTATACGCATGTACTATACGTATTCCACCCTCGGATTGCATTGATTTGTGCCATAATCCAAGCATAGCCTACTTATCGACGCCATGTGATTACTTAGTCATCGATTAGCTGGCTTTCACTGTTTCACCGTTCACTCTTTTATTTTTTTTTTAACTGATTGGTTGGTAACTGGTAACGACTGTTGCCATCTTCACACGCCACATGCCGCGCCTTTTGGGCGACGTTGCCGCATTTCACTTGTTGTTGTTGCTATTATTGTTGACATGGCTCGTGGCTCGTGACCAAAAAGGGGGAGGCACCATATATATATATATGGTGCAGATGGCCAGGTGCAGTGTCATTAGTCTCACCTTTGACAGTAGTCGGTAGCCGAAAAAAAAAAAAACGAAGACGACCACAACAAGTATCTTAAAGCGTATTACCCCATTTGTGTGGCTTATTAACAAGAAAGTAGAAAGTGTTGTGTTATTCATAAACTTATATTCTATTACCCATCTATGTTTTAATATATATTTTTTTTGTATAAAGAGAAATTATATTTTTTTTTTGTAATTGTCTACTTGCTTACAAAATATAACACAAAAGTAATGCAGCGATTATATTTATGTATTGCCTAAAAAGTACTTCTCTTTTATCTCTGTGCATTTTCATCATGTTTGCCTTTCCGTATCAAACACGCCCCCAAAGGTCAAAACATTAATCATGTTAAGAAGGCATTATCTTCACACTTGCGGTGATTACACGATGTCGTCGTCGTCACTGTCGTCTGGCCTTCATTGGTGACAATTTGCAAATTGCAAGCTTAATTGAAATTTACAACTTGAACTCTATTGCATAGGGACACAACACTACATACCACTAATGACTTAATTCCCGTTAAGCACGCAGCCAGTTTATAGGGAGGTTACAAAGAGCGGAGGAGTCTTGACAAGCCCCTCTTGGCTCTTACTGCTTCTAAGCAGTTTTAACTACTGTAGACCTAGACTTTTATTCTGCATAAACAAAAGATTATATAAGTAGCTCATACCTGAATTTTTCATATAACTTACTACTAAATTATTATTAAATTATAAATACTAAAAATAAATTTGAATAAGTGATTATGGACTTTGCTAGTAGTGAAAAAATATAATGTAAATATACTACGTTAAGTATACGAATACTAAAATTTGCGTAGGTATTTTTTCTGCGTGTAAGTAGTAACTTTACCTCTTAGCAACCAAATATAATAGAATAGCTCTATCATTTCGTGGCTACACTTAAAATTTGTAATATTTTTGCTTTAAATAGATGTTTATTGATTTTGTTAGTATTTAAACTAACTGATGTATATATAATAGACTTAGTATACAAATACTAGAATTTGTGTAGGTATTTTTTCTGTGTGCAAGTAGTAACCTCCCCTACTTGCCACCGGATGTCGTTCAGTTCAGGGCCCCCCTACTCCCACTGTCGGCTTAGTTTGGCTTGTGATTCATAATTTTCGTGTGCAGTTGCCAACATTGTTGCATGGCCTGGCCCCCAAGCCGGTGAAATGGCTGGCGAGAAAATCCACCCCCGCAGAGAGAAGTCGTTGTAGTCGTCTGGACTGCGGTTCGTCGATGTGGTGCAAGTGGTACTATGGCGCGTTCGTGTGGCTCCGGCCGAGATGATCATCATCAGAGAACGGCTCCGTCAAATGCGCAGCGAGTGCTCAATTTGAAAAGCAAAGCTCAAATGGCATTATCACAGCATGCGCCACACAGCGACTTCTACTTATTTTTTTTCTTTTTTTTTTTTCTTTTTTGTATAGTGGCAAGGCACACCCGCATGTGGGTTTCGGATTTTGCAACCCTCTCTGCACTGCCATTGCAATTGCGCAATTTCTTAGGCGTCGTGTGGGTTCTCCTTGGGAAATTGCCCAGCGCGCGATAAGGTTAATACTACGGAGAACAACAACTGCCCTGTGCCTGCCTGCCTGCTTTATCGGGATTTCGTTGAAAGATATTTCAATCAGGGTTGATAAATGGCCAAGGGAACGTTTAACACATTAAAACGGGGTCATTTATTATGTTAAAGGTTTCTTGGCACGTCTCAATTGGGGTCATATATCATATTGAGTGCTTGGCTGTCATGTATCAGTTCCTAATTGGAAGAAGTTATTGGATCTTGTGCGTATACATTTATGGTCAACACCTTACTTGCTTTTATATTTTATAAATTAAGTTTTTTAACTCTATAGACTTAAGTATTTTCTATCGTTTTAGGGTTTTATACCTTTTTTTGTTGTTGTTTTTAAACTAATTTTTTTTTTTCAAGCGGTTCAGCATTTTTGCCCTCTATTTTTTCCTTAACCCTCATTTCTCCACACTAAATGCACTTCACACCTGATCACGTGATGCAGAAGTTTGCCTCCGCATTGGCCTTTTTGCATTTGGCCACAGTTAAATGGGCTTTGCAGGCGGTGATTAAGATCCGACCCACTTAGATTAGGCCCACTACTCACTCCCGCCACGAACTCATTTTGCTAAATAAATCAGCACTTGCGTTGCTTATTTTGCTTTGTTACCACATGCAAGACATGTACTATATACTATATGTAGGCACATTCGTCGTTATCAACATGGAAACAGGCCATTTTGAATAGCGCCAAACAAGCAATTACAACCAGGCAGACAAGAGGCAGAAATCGTTGCACAAATCAATAACTGAACTACTAGGCAAAATACTAGCAATAGGACATGCGGAACATTATTTCCAGGGCGGGCACGCAATCCAGTTCCCGATTTTTAGGCCGTTTGGATATTACCCAACAAGGGTAACATTGCGCGACGACAGCCACGTCGCAGTGCCCTCAAATAAAAAAAAAACAAGAACAAACAAACTACAGCGATAAAGTTTTTGGTACTTTTATAGACATACACTTTACAGAAAAATTAGTTAAGTTTTTAGGGGCCAGCAATAACTTAAATTTATGATGTTTATCGAAATCATTGAATGTTTACAATCAGTTAATACTGCTTTTAAATTCAATACAAATTGTTGGTTTTTTAAAATATCTTTTATATTCTTTTCCTTACAAAATTATCTTTTCAATAATTTGGTTATTATTTCAGGCTGTTGATTGTTTATTTTTAATTTGTTCAAGTTGTTCTGTGTATTTTGTTGCAAAACATTTTAGACCCAAAAAATTAAATAAAAAACCCTTAATATTTTCTTTTACTTATTTGTTTACTATTTCATGTTTTTGTTTCTTTCTGTCAAAATAATAAGATTAAATTTTAAAATTCCTAGTGTACTTTTCTTTTAAAATAAACTTTTGCCCGCAATTGTTACTTGTGCATTTCTCCCTCTCCCCCTTTCCCTGTGTTTTTATTTGCCTGCCCTGCCCGCCTTTGTTGAATTATTGAATAGGGCGTGCAGTGGCAGGGCAAAGTCGTCCCTCATTCGCTGCTACCCCTGAATAATCTGAATAAACCGCCGCCTCAGGACGAACGACTGTGAACTCGACTTAAAGTTTGCCCGCCGCTTAACCGCAATTAAACGATTCCTTTTGGGTAATGTCCGCTGCCATTGAATATAATTTTCGGGCTCGGGTCTGTTGGCTCTGCCCTGTCATTTGTCTTGCCCACCCTGAAAAAAACTGAAAACCGACAACGACGACGACGACCCCTTGTGCAAATTAGAAATGTCAGCTTTTGACACCGAAATTGCTGCGCCCGAGGGCAGATTTCTTTTTCCCCACATTCCATTTCATTCTTTTCATTTTCATTTTTCGGTTTTTATATATAGTATTTATATCGGATTTACATGTGTTCGCATTTAACAGTTTAAGGCGGTTTTTATTGCACAGCTGTCGGTTAATATAAGATCATTATTGGAGGTGGGTTGTTTTCTATACTGGTAGACAAATGATCAAATAATTCATTTAACTTCTAATCGTTTGGTGTAATGCGAGATCTTACATCAATCGGCTATCAGGTTTCCACAACTAATGGCCGCATAAATTTCCCCCAACTGGGCACTTTCCCTACCACGATCAGTTTTTTTTTTGTTTTGTTGCCTTAATTAGTGCAAGTTTTCACTTGGCCTTTTAGGAAATTACAGAAAAATGTCGCCTCTTTGTTTCAGCTAAATTATAGTAGTTGTCTAAATGGCCAGAAAACTGTTTTTGCTGTCTATCTTGTCTCTATATATGCATTATAATAAACTTTATGGCCATTTTGCGACCGAAACATAAAAGTTTGTCGCCTCAAAATTTGCATGGCACATTTACGTTGAATAGCCAACGGAAAACAAAAAAAAAATATATATAAAAATATATTTGTATAACGACTTGGTTTTTGGGTGAGGCGAACGGCTAGCCCATTTGTCTGTCGAAACGGAGCGAAAAATAATGACGTATAAGTAGCCGAAACGGATGATCAATTGTTGTCAAAAGTTTTCAGTTCATAATTTAAATTTGGCAAAATTTTACAAAAATGTTACAATAAATAACCAGAAGCTTACGTTAAACTATGAAGACAGTCTACGGTTTTATTTTCCCTTTGTTTATAAGAAAATTTATGAGTCAAATTATTTTGCTTTTTTTAAAATCTTCTTTTGTATTATTGAAAGTACTTTTTATTATTGATTTTCTAAATGAAAATTAATTTGTGAATTTATTTTATTTTGTTTACAATCTTGTTAGGAATATACTATTGATTTGCCAAACATTATATTACCCAATTTTTTTACTTAACAAACTTTGAAATTTTTGCCAAAAAACCCTGTGAATTTGGTCATAAAACCTTGGCCTTTTCGGCTACCTGTGCCAAACAAGTAAGACGGCTTAAAGCGCTCTTTAGCTGCCACAAATTGCTGCAAGTACATTTGATATATTTTAATTTCTTTTGGCTTTTACGATTTGTTTCGCCGGAGGCCAGGTTAAAGCGAAATGAAACAAAAAGTGGAAATTGGCACAAGGAAAGTGTGAAAAGCAAATAAAACCCAAGTCTGTATGAATGTATGTATGACTGTGTGTGGAGTGTGGCAACTAAAAACAAAACTACGGCAAATCGTTGGCTTTTTGTTGCTAAGGTTTTATGGACAGGTTGGGCCGACTTTGAAATGACTCAAGTGGTTGGGTGGAGGCCCGGGGGAAAATCGGTTTTACTGGTGACGGGGGAGGGGGGTGGAGGGGATGATGGGGTCATGTGCTAAATATCAAAGGCCGTGCGCTCATTATACTTTATGTGCCGGCACAACGGCCAAAAACCGATGCCAAGTCGAGCCGCTTTTGTTTTTCAAGGCGAGGTCACCGTAGCTGCCAGGTGGCTGTTTCCTCCACTCGACCTTCGGCAGGGTCTCCTACTTCTCTATTTCTCACCTCCAGACCTGCATAATTTATGCCAAACTGACATGGCATTTTGCCCAAAATTTGGCTAAATACTTTATGGCTCTGGAAATTAGAGTAAAATTGTATGAAACCATTCCCTAAGAAGAAGAAGATATCCTTTATATACAAATACTACACCTTTGGCATTCAAAGGCTATTTCTTTGGAATTTTTAAACTGCATTGAGTTCACTTAAATTATTTAGAACATTTTTAGAAAAATTTTCATAGACATTAATAACAACTGACCTTCATAATTTATTTCTGACTGACTGGTATTTTGCCTAAAATTTAGTTAATACTTTTTACTCTAGATTTCAAGAAGTATTATCGGAAACCAATTTTTAAGAGGTTTTTGTAAATTTTTGTGTAACAGCTTTTAGTACACTTTTAAAGACATTACTGACTGAAACTTAGAGGCCTAAAAATATCTATAAAACATATTTCAAAAGTTGCGATTACCTTAAGATCTCCAACTCAGCAGTGCGCTCTTGAAGCGCACTCATTTTGCCAATGCAAATGTGGTCAATGCGCTCCAATTGGCAGCGAAGCGTGGCAGAGTTTCAGCCACACACGCCATGCGTCCAGTGGTGCAACAAGTTTTAATTAAAACCAATTACCGCCACCATATAAAAACCGAACAACCAACTTGCAACTTGCAACTGATCTATTCGATTTTTCTCTATGTTTGTTGCAGAGATTCGCCATCAACAGTTTCGGCTGAATATGTCGCGCGACTACGAGCTGAATGGGGTGGCACAAGACGATCCCGCACTCATTGCATTCCTGCGCCAGATTCACATGGGCAAGTACCTGGGCAAGGCGTCGCCCAAGGTCGCGGCAGCGGTGGCCACAGTGGGCGTGGGTCCTCCACCGCCGCAGCTGCCCCCAATTCCTTCCCCGCCTCATCGTTTGGCAGCGGGAACGGAAGCGGTAACAGCAGCGGCAGTGGAGCCGATCAGCTGGCCCACTATGTGGCCGATCTGGTGGGCGGCAAGATGAACGGAGCGGTGATCCAGTCGCTGAGCGGTCCGCTGGCCCATCTGATCACGGCGCCCTGGCTGAGTGAGCAGCTCAACTGGATGGGCGTGCTGGTGGAGCCGGAGCCGCGTTGGTACTTCACACTGAGGAAGCAGAACGCCCAGCGGGCGCGCATGCAGGTGGTGCATGCCTGCGTCTCGCCCAATACCTATCCCAAAGAGGTGAGTTTTTATCAGTACAAAATCAGTAAAAAATTAAGTTTTTAATGCATAAAATCAAAGAAAACCATTAAATGCATACCCTAGGTGAAGCTAACTACTCTTCTAGTAAACCACTAGGGTTTAGAAATTATTAAAATAGGTGTGTGTAAAAGTATGCATTTTCAAATTCATTAAAGAAAAAAAAAAACATTCATAAAATAAATTTTATAAGAAGTGCTACAAAAATAACTAGGATTTTGAAATTAGTAAAGTAAAGGTGCCTAAAAGTATTTAGAAAAAAATGGAAAGACATACTTTCTAACTCTGGAAATCAAAATACAATTTTGCATACTTTTAGACGTATTTATAAGTGATTTTAAAACCGGAGTAATTATTTTAGACCCTTTTCAAAGTGATTTCACAACCCTAGAGATTTCTGTGGCACACTCATTATATGTGTTTAATGCAGATGCAAATTAACTTCCCATTACTGTCATAAAAACCAAGCTTTATCAAAGACTAATTTCGGCTCGCTTTCTTTTACAGATTACCATACACAACGAGGATGTGCGCATCAATAGTCTGCACGACGAGGAGACCTCGTGGTTTAATTCGCGTGTCAAATGCTTTCCGCTCTACACAATCATGCTGGCATGTGAGCGCACCGAATACGATCTGCTCAGTCTGGGCGTACAGGGGCATGAGCTGGAGGTAAGTGACTTTCATGATTTTTCCATTATGCTAAACACTTTCACTAAATGCTTAACACTTTTGCCTTGCAGATCTTGCAGACGCTGCCCTTCGACAAAGTGAAAATCGATGTGATATCGATACATTTGCTCGAGGATCACGAGGACGTGCATGACTATGTGCTGGACATCACCAGATTTCTGGCGGGCAAGTCGTACAAGCTGCAGCGCAAAATCGGGCGGAACTACTTCTACCAGCGGCTCAATGCCAGTGCCAGTCGCACGCGCAAGAAAGATATTCTGCTGCTAAAGACGCCCTAGGATCGAATACTACGAGGATCCACTGGGAAATATATTCCCCTAACGACATCGAAGTGAAGACAAGCGAGAATAAAAGTAGCTACTGAAAAGAAATCAACAAAACACTACGCAGCGAAGCGAGAGATTAACACAAACTCTCAAAACTGAACTCTATGTTATAATGATAATTATTACTATACACATACGCTACACTAACGATATCGTTTATATATATACTGTATACCGATTATGATATATTGTACGAGTAGTATCTTAGTTTTTGTAAAACTCAAAACTCCTTTTCCCTCCCCCTTTCCCCTTCCAACAAAAAAAAAACACAAACAAACATATAAATCACCTTTATGTTATTATTTCCATTTATTTTTTGTCGAAATTGTTTTTTTTTGTGTGCGTGTACACAGAACAATATTGTGTTAAATACTAAACACAAATTACTATATACATATATGCATATAACGTATTATGATTTGCTATAAGCTATGCTAAATGAATGTTAATCTAAGAGAGAGAAAGCAAACGCCCGCCCGCCCATTTTCGATGTATAAATTAAATTGCAAGGGGCGCGGCAAGGAGAAATTATTGTAACTGTTCTGCTACTAGAATAAGGTCGGCTATCTCCTACAAACTATCCAACTATCTATCTATGCAAGTTTATGTTATATCGAATGCTTTATCTAGTAATCAATAAGTAAACAAGGCCTAACGTAAATTATTGTTTAAAATGGCGCCTCGAAACAGCAGCGCAAAACTAAATACAACAAATATTTAAATTATATTAAATTATTGAACCAAACCAAGCACATCCATACGCATACACATACACATACCCATACACACCACACCATTGTACACACACTAGCGCAAGCGAATAAATATATAGAAAAACTCATTTGCAAAATCTGCTTTCAACTCATCTCATACTCATAGTTACAACATAAGCGAATCATTTAAATTAAAGATCGAAAGAATCAGAATCTAGTAAAAACGAGGCAGCATTCAAAAAAACGTATATTACGAAAAGCAATTACGAAAAATACCCCAGAAACACACACACTACTATACACTCATGCACATTTTATGTACTACAATGTACTAGTGAATAAACAAAGTAAATAAATGTATATGTAGCGCAACGAAATTAAATGTAAAACCACTCGTATTTCAATTACATTTTAGTAATTATGATGTATTATTATTTTTTATGTGCACGCTCAGCTAAAAATCGGTGACAGTTGTTGCAAGTGCCGCGAACTCGTTGCACCTCGCCCCCTCCCAAAACAAAATAAAAAATACTTACACACTTTAAGCCAGAAACAGATATTAAATTGAGAAACGAACCGAACCGAACCGAGCCGAGTAGAGAATCAGAATCAGTGCCTTCGACTTAGACTTGAAACGAAAACCAAAATCTAAGCATTACTCAATATTGAAACGTTGTACATAGAGAAAGAGAAAGCATTGAGCAGCAACCGTCACTAGAAAAGAACATTTGTTGTTACCATTTGCCGTCTGTTAAACTTGCCTTATATCGATGATGCGACGACGCGAAGGTGATGATGCCCACACACTGTCTTCACACTCAGTTACCACACACTCAAATCCGTCACAACAATATAGAACTGCAGAAGAAACTCAAAAAACTCGACTAAATCACAAAAAAAAAAAACACATCACCTTAGTTCTAAGTACAGTGCTAATTTCTGTTTTTTTAAGCCTAATTCTAATTAATTAGTTGTATCTTGTGTAAATTAGCGTTTAAACCAAATTTTAAGTAGGCTATTATTATGATAACCATCTGATTTGGCCTTGTCCATAGCACAGACACACACATACACACCCCGCATTGCATCACAACACACCCACAAAAAAAAAAAAGAAAACGAAGCAAAAGGCTAACTCATGCTAAGCTCGACATCGAAACTAGAAATTGTATTTACAGCGAGCATAAAACTAAGGAAACAAAATTTATAGTTAATACATCAAAAATAAAGAATCAAAAGCTTATGAAATTTCATTGACTTTTGTTTTTGTCCACCCATTGTCCATCCATCCATTGCTTTTAGTTCACTCGTTTTTGAAACATACCAAGAACTATATATCTATGGCATAAATCGAAATTGTTTATCTTATGAAATTGACTTGAAAACTGTTGAGATGAGACAGTGACACGAGTACATATTCTAAACTACATTCAGAACTAACTGAAAAAACTGAATGAAAATACTTATGGAAATTTTGAATGCAACTTTGCCGCCACTTATTATAGTTAGATACTTGCTAACAAATTGAAAAGAAAAGGCCTGCAAAACTATGACAAAATAAACCACTATGAATACCAACAAAATTTACACGAATTCGATGAATGAAATAAATAAAGATTTACATGAAATGTAAGAGTTAAAAATGATTTTTATTGATGGTAATGATTTTGGGGTGCTTTTGAAATTCATCATCTTACAAATTGTTTACTGTTGTCAATGGTTTTTTAGTTTCTGTTTAAATGTTTTAAGAATACTATACATCGCGATCATTTTATGTTGCTTGAAATTTTATTTGTCGTATTATTTTAACCAAGGAATTTCTTTGCAATTATGAATGGTTTCTTTCTTTAAAGTTTAAACTGACCGAGCCGCAAAGTATGCAGTACTTTATTTCAGCCCTTTTTTATTGCCTACATTCCTGGCGGCCATTCAAAATGGCTTCTCGTACCGTGAATAATAATGGCCGCCGCCCGTTGGCAGTTTTTCAAAGCGCCGCATGCCATTGGCAACCTGTTGCTAAGCAGCACTAGCGCAGTAGCCCCTTCTGCCAGCCCAAAGTGCAAAGCTCAACGCTTAGCCCATCGTGTGCCGAGCCATAATCCCTCGATTCAGGCGGAAACAGAACTCATTAAAGCGGCATTAGCGTGCAGCTCGCTTTTTAGTTTCTCTAGCATTTCTAGCAGGGTGATTAAATTAATTTTTGCTAAGCCAACTGCTACGCCTTGGCATGTGCATGTGCATGGGTCATTGTCTAGGTTTTTGTGGAATGGGGAGGATGGTCTTCCAGTGGTAAGTGTTCTCCGGGTGCCGCCTACGTCGGCAACAAACTGTTGCGGCCAAGGAGCTTTTCCAATTTTCCGCTTTTCCGCTTGAGAAGAACTTAATGCAGCGCAGGCGCCGCTCTGACACACTAACACACTAATACACAGATGACAAAGGACAGGCGCAGTGGGTGTATTATGCCTCGAATCCTTTTCTCTCGTCTCCACGAAAGTGAAAGCTGCGACTTTCAAACTGTTGCGTCAAGAATTCGGGGCAAAATCAATATCCATAAAGTTTGGCCAGCGCAAACAGCTGTCAACCTACGTCAAATGGTTTATATTGTTGGGGTTGTGGGCGGTATCTGGGCAGCCAGGCCATTGTTGTTGCTCCAGGACAGCTTTCGGTGGAGTTAAACCCTCCGATTCCACGGGGGTAATTTGATTAGATACCCTACACTATAGGGAGTTTATTTTTTTTTTTAGTTTGTTGGTTTTAATTACAATTTAAAGTTAAATGTCATTTAATGTTAATTAATCAATCGAATTTCAGCATAATTAATATTTAAACGAATTTACATTAATAAATAGTTTGCCGAATTGCGTTTTATAGTCATAATAAATAATATAAAGTTAAAGATATATAATTTATAAAATGACAACCTTCTTAAAAACATTAGTTTTTTAAATAAGCCTGACTCGTAACAGATTTTTACTTTAAATGTGGTAAGCTAGTAGCTCTAGTAAGTTCTAGAGTACTTAAATTTCGGTCGCATCTGTATGCCAACACGAAAGCAGGGCCGAAACCAAAAGCTTGCCGAGCTTTAACTTTATGATGCGTGTGTGCCTAACCTACAGCACACACACTCAGACACACACTTACACAGCGAAATGCGTAGGAATTTTGGACAGCTTCGGCTGCGTAAGAGTGTGTGTGGCTGTGTGGGTTAGGGCATACTGTACAGTACATACTGGCAGCCTGGCTGGTTGGAAAACGCCGAGCGAAAGTGCCGTGCCTCGAGAGCGAGGCGACTGCGAATGGCGCTTCAGTAGGACAGGCAGTCCTTCGGCTGACGGTCAACGCGAGCGAAAAGCCAGAAAAGAGCAGCCAGCAAAGGACTAGGGCAGCACGGAAAAAATAAAAGAAAATAATATACAGTGTAAGGAGGCGTTAGTCTTTGTTATCATATTAAATAACATTTTTCCAAACAATTCAAAACAAAAAACAAACCAAACAAACCAAGAAAAAATATGGCGAGCAAAAAAGCTCTATCTTATTTTTGTGGCTAAAATAACCGAGAAACGAAAATTTGACACTGAACTTCATCAAACGTGAGCATGTGTGTGTGTGAAGTGCGGCCGTGTGTGTGTGTGTGTGAGTTTGTGAAGAACATTTTAAGTGACAGCCCAGAAGTATGCTACACAAATTATCAGCCAGCCATATGCTATAAATGTTTTTTTTTGCCAGCCAACAACCAGCTATTTTCAATGCTTTTCCTTGCTTTTCCTTGCTTTTCCATGCATTTCCACCATTTCCCTTGGTCCTTGCTATGCTATTTCTGTTTTTCGTGTTTTGTGCACGCGCCCACAATTAAGCAAAGACCAAAAACAAAGGCCTATTTTGGAGAGCGTGTGGTTTTGCCAACCTTATTGCGTAGTTAAATGCCCAGAAACGCATCCGCTCTCTCTTTCATTTTAGCCCACATTTTTAGGCCTGCTTTTTTCATGTTTTTCTTGTGTGCCCACGAAATTGAAACATGTGGGCCAATATCAACAGCAAACAGCAACAGCAGCGAGGCGGCAATTAGACGCCAAATGTATTGCCCGCAAATAATCGCACGTCATCCGTGCGCCTGCGAACACCTGCAAACTGAAATCCACCCACACATTGCCACACTCAAAACACACACAAAACACACACACAGAACACCCATAACACCCACACAATCACATTATAGCCGGTGCTCTTGGAAGCTCGCTCTCTCTATTTCTGTTTTCCTTTCCTTTTTTTTTTTTTTTGTTATTTGTTGGCCCAAACTCTCTTTGAACGTCTTCGAATACTTGGTTTCTGGCTTTCGGCTTCAGGCTGCTGTCGTCAGTCGCTGGCGTTGTTTGCGTCAAAAAGAAGTGCCTGTTCGAACATTAACTATATACATTTATATACTCTGTAAAGTACATACCAGACAATTAATCAAAATCTCTACGATCTAGGAGCAACTTAATTAACTGGAGAGGGCAGCAACGGCAGGAAACGGCATAAAACTAATATAAAAACGTACAATATAAAACCATCGTACAACAATTTGCATGTCTTCGTTCGTTTGCGCTGAATATGAAGTAAACAAATACATGAGCCACGCCATAAATGTCAAACTGAGGTAAGTCACAGGCTATTTGCATCCACCATTAGTCGGTTAGTTTGTGTGCAGTGAGCAGTATGTGTGGGCTATATAGGGTTACCAACTAAGTGATTTGACCTTTTGGCAACAGGTGCGCGCATACAATTTCTCGACTGCCATCGTTTGCCCTGAAATGTAGGCAACGGAAAGTGGAAAATGGGATTGCAAATGGGAGTGATTGCAATTAATGGCGCGTGCCTCTTGATTGCTAAATTCCTCGATGGGGGCCAATTCTAAATATTTAATTAAACGGTGACTCTAGGGTATTGATTAGACGTCAAACACAAGTACCAGCAAAATCCATCGATTACAGAATAAAAAAGATAAACTATTAATGGTGCAGAAAATAATCATTATCAGTTTTAGGTATCAATATATTTTTATAACGGATAGTAAATCGTTTAAGAAGTTGCATTAAGAAGCATTAACCAAATTTTGTATTAAATTTTAATATTATTATTAATCACAATGAAAAATATAATACATAATAAAACAATGAAATAGTATCTTTAAATTTGTTACGGAGAATAATTCCAGATACCTTTTTCCGGCTAGTAAATCGATTAAGTAAATAGGAATCAATTTAAATGTCATGAATGCATATACTATACATTTGATGTGGCAAAAAATAATAATAAAACTTATCTTTTGTTTATTTAACGTATCATTAAATATAGATTAGCAGTACATGTATAAACAATATTTTGTTTACGACGAACTCGTAAAATACGTATACGTAATATTTTGCAGCAGAATTTTTGTATACATCTAAAATGAGAATAGCCAAGTGTACTTTTACCCATTACCCATTTATTTTAATTATATTTTTAGGTAATTTTTTAAGAGTATGGACAAGTTTTGTATTATAGTATTTTTGTATAGATAAAATATGAATATGAAATTACTTTTCATTGCATTAAGATTTTTTAACACTAAAATTAATAAATTAATAATTATTTGGTAGAGCTAAATGCACAAATTACCTGTTTATTTGCAATATATTTGTAATTGCTTACATGCATATAGAATAAACAAAACAAGCATAAATAGTTTCACAGCTATATATGGATTAACAGCTAGATACCATATTGATGTCAAAGTTATATATGGATTATCATGCTTTAGAAAAGACCCTAGCTTATCGCGCTTTATGATTACCGTGCAATCCCTTGTACGACTTTGTTTGTTCAGGGATTCAATGCATCACCACCACTAGTTGTTGTTGTTGTGTTGTTGTAGTTGTTATGGTCCTCAGGGGGCAGGACATGTGACTCGATTGTATTTTGAGCATGGATATCTAAGTTGGCGTTTCCATAGTCGTCATTCTCGGAACAGGACTCGCAGGACTCGCTAAATGACGACTCATTCATCAACAATGGCGACCTGCTGGGCGTGGGCTTTGTGCCGACTTCATTGCGATTGATTGAATGCTGTTGACATGGCCGGTGGCCAATGGCCAATGGCATATGCAGCCTTATGCGGGGGTGTGAAGAATAAAAGACGAGGTCGGCACAGCCACAAGTGCGTTAAATTTAGCCCGAACCGGACTTTAGCCATAAATGTCAGACAAAAGCCAGCTGGTTGATTAAGATTTGCGTCAACAAACGGAAGCTTACGGAGGCACACTTTTATGTATCAAAAATATAGATTCGCGTAAACATAAATAAGTCGGCCCATAAAATTGGCCATTCATAACAGCTCGCATACAAAAACCATCCTAAAAGCTGAACTTACGACGCCACTTTAGTTTTGATACTAAACCAAAGCACAAATTCATATTCGGTTCAGATACCCAGGAGCCTATATGAATATAACATTATATTTTGATGGCTCCCACAAACAAAGTCTAGCAATTGCACAAATATTTTGACACAGGCCTCCGAACAAATAAGCAAACAAGTTTCCGTTCTGTTGGCATAACAAAGATTGATGATGGGCGCTAAAGTGAATTAAATTGGCTTTAACTTTGCCCAGAATATTAAATTTTCACTCTGATTTTGGGCCACCGTTCTTAGGGGGATATATTTAAAATTAAAATTGACTATGAATCTTTCACAAGATTGACAATTATTGGACTTTGGGAACTTTATCAAACTTTTATTGGGGGCACAAAATAAACATTTAGCTTGGTATTGACTAATTTATTTTTAGACAGTTCGATTGTCTATTTTTACCAAAAAAGTACCTTAGTTTTTGAACATTCTAAATTTTTAAGAAACTTTTAATCGTTACAATTTAGATATATGCTAAACAGAGAAAACGAGAAAAAGTTTTAGGGGCAAACGCATTTTTAATTTTAAAACTCTGATTTCTCTGAGTAAATGTCTTACCTAAATTGTGATAAAATGTTCTTCGTTCACAAAAGACTTCTCCTTCTTTTCCAATAAATTTCAACCGCAAAACCACCACAGCTCATTATGAGCTACGTTAATAATAACAAGAAATTATTTAATAAATTAAATCAGCAATTGAAATCTATTTATATCTCTTTTAATTGCAAATGAGCCCCATCCGCAGCTGGAGGCACCCATCAAAGGAAACGCAGATTAGCTCTACCTTTTTATATATATATATATATAAATACATTAGCGTAGGGTCGTTTAATTAGCTGGCCCAACCCTCTCGCCCGTGTAATCATTCACGGTAACTCCGTTACGTGCAATTAAAAGCCGGATCGTGTTAAACCCCCGATAACCTGACCTCAGCTATTCGTCTATGGGATTTTAAATGGCTCAGGAAAGTGACAGGATTAGTGGGTGTATATGTTGGCAACGGCCGTCGAGGCAATAGCTCAACTTAATTAGTTTTAAACTGAGCAAATATTAATCATAATTCCATACGCCATACGTCATACGCCCCAGTTAAACAATATCCTTGTATAAACGCAGAGTACACATCCATGACATCAGGCTAAAAAAGGATACGTTCCATACAATGGCGTCATATGGACAAATGTCTGTATTACACAAAAACTCGACTATGTCTATGTCTACGACAAGGGCAATCCATTTAGTTAATGAGATTGCAAGCATTTTGGTGACATTGAAAACGCGTTTATTAGGGTTGCCCTGCCACCCCGACAACCCTAACCCCTAGCGAAGGGTGCAACGCTCCTCTTTTTTGTATTCCTTCAGTGGGAGTTATAACAAATGGTTATGTGAGCCAAGTTCATTCATAAAAGGCGCTGCTGCGTCAGGCAACAGACGAAAAAGCCCGGAAAAAACCAGGGGGGCGGGGGTGAAAAGAAGAAGCTGGAAAAATAAGAAGCACAGTGAACGAAAAATCAATGGTGGCAATGGCAACCCTGGCTACTACACCCACCATTCTAAAAATAGCAGAAGCAGAGATATCAAGTTGTTAAATTTTCGACACAATTTCGGGGCCAGCAGTTGCGGTTGGTCGTGTGAGCTAAGCTCCAAAACTGACTTGGCACTTTGTTAAACAGCCAGAAAAGTAGCCCGCACACATAAAATGGAGAGCATCGCCAAACGAAAATGAAAGGAAATTTAACGGGAACAGTACTATTTCGAAACATGAGATTGAAACTTGCTATGCTAAAATTTGGTGAGTCTAGGTTCCTCTTTTTTTAACTAAAAGCTTTCAATAAGCTTCTAAGTAATCTAAAGTTTATTTTGATTTTTTTTTAATAAACTGGCTTAAAATTGTTTTTTCTTATAATGATTATTATATTAAATAACATTCTTTTAATGGTATAATTTTTTTTAAACAACAGTTTTGTAAGAATTAGACAGTTTAATGTTTGAAAAAAAAGAAGTTCCATTTTTAATCAATGCATTTAAAGAAACCAAATTTGAAAAATCGTATTATAGACCCATTTTAAAGTTTTATACTTATACTAATGAAAAAATAGTTTTTTAATTTGATAAAAAATGATTCAAAGCATTTAAAGAGAAACATTCAAAATCTTATAGCCTAAAATTTTAACATTGGTACTTAATATTAGTAATTTAATGGTAGCTATATTTTAAGCTTATACAAAAAATATAAGTTTAAATTTCATCAAAGAATTTGTAAGAAAAAACCTTACAACATTTTTTTTTGATTTCAAGTCTTGTTATCAGTAACTTGGTTAACATTTGCTTAGAGAAGCTCCACTGTAGTATGTAAATGGTGGCTGGAGGCAATTGGAACTTTCGCGCTGTTGCTATTTTTGGCCACCGAATGCCGCAGGAAGCGAAAAGAGAGGAGTGCAGGTTCCGAAGGGACCCGAATTGAACTCGGCACCCATATCCCGAATCCCCATCCTCCGAAACGTAGGCGCCGCCTTCGAGAAAGCTCGTGGCTTGCGCGGAAAAGCTCATTTTGCGTGGGCGTCGCACTGCCAGCGCAACAGGAGCAGCCATGGAAAAGCGGTTGGGGGAAATGGGGAACATCGGAAAATCGGAAAAGTACCAGCTGGCCAAGCAACAGCGAAAGCTGCCAAGCTTTTCCCGATTTCCCCAGGCAGCTGGAAGGGCAGCTGGAAAAGCGACTTCGGCTTGGAGTTGTCGGCTGCCCTCGTGCACACTACCTGATGCTCGAAAAACTGTGATGAAAGCTGAAAACATCGATGGCATTCAGTTCAACCTGGGGAGCGGAGCACAGCGAACGCTGGCCAAGTGTTGAGCGGTTAAATAAGAAAAGTGCCCGCCTACAACAAGTAGGCGGCTGAAATCCCAGCCAGTGTTCTGCGCCAGCTACTTCATCGCCCGAGGACCGAGTGCCAGTGTCTCAGTGTCAGCCTCAGCCTCATTGCTCCAAAGTCGACCTGCCAAAGACGAAGAAGACGAGTCCTGCAGCCTTATTCGTCCTGTTCTGGGTGCGATAAGCGTGTAAGCCTAACATATGGCACCCAGCGTCGATGCCAGCCGTCGGCACTTCTTGCGGTGAGTCAGAGGACTGGGGATTGGGCATTGGGCATTGGGGATTGCGGATTGTGTGAGAGTAGGGTACAAGGGTCCAATTTGAAAGCAAAACTTTTACTTGCTCAGCTAAATGCAGGCCTGAAAGTGAATTACATTATATGATGATTGTCGTTCTGCTATTTGGTTAACATTTCTTTAATAGAAAACAAATGAAATTGTTGGAGATGTATTCCCTTAATAATAAATACTTTTGATTTTCACTTGAACAGATTCTTGAAGGCAAAACTTTTATTTGCTCAACTAAATGCAGGTCCGTAATTAAATTACATTATATGATGGGTATTTAATTTAGCAACTTTTCTTTAATAGAAAACAAATTAAATTGTTTGATTTGTTGTGTATTTTTTCTAGAAAAATAATAACTTTTGGTTTTAGTTTGAACTCATTTTTAAAAAGCAAAACTTTAATTTGCTCAACTAAATACAGTTCTGAAATTAAATTATAGGATATAATTGTAAGCTTTCTGCTATTTAATTTACATATCTTTATTAGAAAAATAAATTGTTAAATAGTTTCTAGCTTATATTAATCGTTTCTAGCTTATAAAAAAAAAATAAATAAATAAACTTAATAGCGTATACTTAATATTTGACTAAAAATTTGTTTAGTCAAAACGAAATTCACACTCAGTGTCCCAAATTGTTTTACAATAGATATAATTGAAGTAAGTAAGAGCTAAAATAAAAAATTCAAAGTTCATGTTAAAAAATTTTAATGGGTATACTAATTATTTACAATTTTGATATTAAAGATCAAAAATATTACCCAAAAAATCTTTTTTAAACAAAGAGTATAACAATAAGCATTAGACAACTTTAAATATAATTTGTAATTTTATTTCATGAGCATTATATATATATTTTGAAATAAATGTTTTATATTTTACTTTTCTAACTTACACCTTAAAAAACTTATAGCCCCGATACAAATATTCATTTCCCATATAGACAATGTCCATATTGTTTTAGTTAGACGACATTGCATTCCATTTTAAGTCCTTATTGATATTGACTCAATGCAATATATCAATTTGGCCAGGCGAAATTAAATTGATATTTGATGTTCTTTGCCTGAGTAAACATTACTTACAATGGACGTCAGTTAAAATGGCGCAGGTCGTACGCTTTCAATTAAAATCGGTTAAATAAATCCGACAGGTAGCGGCCAAAAGAAATAAATAAAGCTGATCGGGGGCAGCGAAAATAACCAGAAAAGTAGCCGACGGACAGAAATTTAAATCGAACGCAATTCAGTGTGATTTAATTCGAGAAAAGACAGGCATATTGGTTACATAAATTCAATTATATTATGCAAATGAATCTCGTTGCGGATTGTTCGCTTATAGTCATGACAATTGCCGTAAAATCATTGGAATTTCACAAATTATTATAAAATTGTTCAGCCGAAAAGGAAGTGGGTTTTCATATCAGGTGTCGGCGTACGTGCGTGATGATAAAAAGTCAGTTAATTAGGAAAACATTATATTTATCGAAAGTGGAAAAGGTTGCTATCAGTTTTCCACTACAGATAGTTGTTACCCATTAAAAGGGTAGATAAGCCTGGAAAAAGTGTACATAATAAAAGCAAAGAATGCAACAGTATTCTTTTCCCTGAGCTGCGCAATTTGTTTTTCCCGAAATTGATTTCACACAGCCCTCAGTTTTCTCTTCCCCCCGCATGCACTTTAACAACATTATCAGTTTCGCTGGAAATTCTCTACCCCAGTACTGGATGGCTGGATGGTTCATTATCCATAACCTTTGCTCTCCTTTCATCAGCTGCATTTATGAAGCGCAATCTGAATAAAATATGGCACATAAATTCCAGCAAACGGAAATGTGCTTATTAACTGCATGCAGTAAAATTGAAGGGGGAAAAACAGGGCGTTTTTTTTCTACTGAAACATAAGCAGCTTTTCCATAAAGAGGGTTTTCTCACAAAGAAAAACTCAGTTTTCGAGAAAACCCAACACAAATTCCTTGAATATTCCCTAGGCAGCTTATAATTGCTGTGATGCCGAAATTCGGTAGCAAAAAAGGGCCAGAGGTAAACTGTAAAATGCCAAAAGTTTTCAGCTTGAAATGGAAAACAATATGCCAAGGCAAAGCAATTTGCCTTACATGCTAAATATATGAAAATAAAACTTCAAAAATAACTTATCTGATGCTGTATACCTGACACAAAACCAAAAAACCTTGTTTAGATGTTTGCAACAATTAAATCCAAACAAAAACGGATTCAAACAATAAGGATGGATGTGATATTGTGTAAAACAATTGCAATTTAGAAAAGCAAGTTGGGGAGATTAGTATAGAATATATGTAAACGATTCCTTTAGTTTTCAAATAACGATTCAATAAACTAATTTAGTCATCATTTTAAAAAAGGTTGTGTACTAACAATCTTATATGTTGATAAATGTATGCTATATTGAAAGGATATATCTAGAACACTTTCCTTATTTAAATCCATTTCAGTTTGAAAAGAAAATTACTTTGACTAGGAAAAAAGGAAATGTTCTAAAAATACAATTCTATGAGACTCCTAGCAATCCCATTAGTTATTATAATGTATTGGATAAATGTTTTAAGCTTTGGCTTCAAAAGCGTAGAAAATTGTATTCTAAAATTATAATCTTTTGAGTCTCGTAACAATCATTTATATGCCTAAGAATTAAGTCATAATTCATGGCACTTAGCAGAATAATTCCACGCTGATTCCTCTAACCCGAGCGAAATGTTGAATTTTTCAATCCTTCCTCCTGCTCTCTCTCATAATTGTCCTGCCACTTACAACTGGCCCCCGCAATTTTCCACTTTCGCCCACTTTCAATTGCCGAATCCAGCTGGCGAGTTTATCTAATTGCTTTTTTGGATAGAGGGTCCTTTATATTTTTGAAGAGGCGGCGGAAATGCCTTTCACGCTGGGCTGGCCCAGAATAAAAAGGAATTATGAATTGTGTGTTTGTGTTTGTGGAGATGGCGAATTGTACACATTGTGCACAGGAAGCAGGAAGCGAAGCCAGGATGAAAGCGATTTGTTATCCTTTAGTCGGGATCCAAGCATCGATTACACAAAGGCCGGGAAATGCGAGCCTTTCGAGGCCTTAAATCACCTGCCACAAGGAAGTCACTCGCACGCGTTGACTCTTATTTTACGCGCTTTTCCCTGTTCAACACACTGGTGCTCTCGATATTCACAATTATAGAGCCCCAAGGAGCCCCGAAGAGCTCCTAAGTGCTGGCAAACACACCTGCGCTGCCTCTAGAAACCCACTTTTGCCCATCCAGTCGAAGCCAAACACAGGCGTCAAATCGAATGGCAAAGAGCTGGCAAACACTTCAAGGAGCCAAAGGCAACACGGCTTTCAGCATTTAACCCAACGGAATGGAAATGAATGCGGAAAAAGTCAGTCCCAAAGAGGGGAACTTCACATCATCGGCGTCATGATTAGCTCAGCAGTATATGTACAGTGGCGGTCGAAATAATAGTATTTTTCCAGCTTATGTAAATGGCAAGCAAAAAAAGTTTGAAAACAACTGTTAAAAATGTTTGTTTGTTAAAACCAAGTAAATGTTCCTAATTAACTGAGGCAAATATTATATACAAGTTCACATTTATCATAGGTCAAATATTTTAGTATTTAGCTAATTTCATAAACATTTACTTGAAAAAATAACAAAACATATTGAACGATTTTAGTAAAGGATTAAAGAGAAGACTTTTCTTTCTTAGTGGAAAATTAAAACAATGTATTTTTTTTTCATTTCTTTATTGATAAGTAAACCTTATAGTCAAATAATAGAAAAGTGGTCGTATGCCATAATGGAATTCTTTTGAGCACTTTACATTGTCCCACTACTATTGTTATGACCGCAGCTGTATGTGTATGAACTGAGCCAGAAGGAATCCCCACTCTGAGTCCCTGTCTTAAGTAGGTTAGGCAGATCCAGCCAGCCAGAAATATAATGCTGAAGACAAATCTTGCAGATTTTGGTCAAGCAATGCGCACCGAAATGTGAAACCCAAATCAACTTGAAAGTGAATGAAAAGCCACGAAAAAGAAAAACTTCTCAGGCGAACGGGACAGTTAGCCAAACGTTGGCCGCAAAACCAAAAAGGGAAAGTTTATAAGCGCCAAGGAAATGTCGGGGAAACCAAAAGAACATTTTATGCCCAAGAAAATTCTTGTAAAACAGAAACAGAAGGTGGCATTCAGATAAAGGAAGTCTTTAAGCCTACACAATAAAAAATATGGGAATTTAATAGGTACACACAACTGAAGAAAAATAGATACACAAGAAAGATACATTTTTTGTTATTATAAATTAGAGAAAAGAAATTTAATAAATCCCCTAAACAGTAAGAAATACTTTTAAGAGCATACTATGACTTTTAATATGACATAAATATTTAAATACTAAAACAATTAATTTAAATGTTTTAAAGTCAAAATACAAAATTACAAAAAAGTAAAGCATATTTAAAGTTTATTTTCTTCACTTAAATATATTGAGTTCAGATTTAAATATTCAAGAATCAAAATGTTTTATTGTAACTAAGAATTTCATTATGATCTAGTTGCCCAGCGAAACGTTAAACATTATTAAACATTTTATTGTGTATCAACCAAAAGTTTTTCCTTGGGAAGTTCACTTTTGTAGTTGATGAATTCTATTCCAGACTTGAGTGGGGGCTATTAAGCATTTTACAACTTTCGTATTTGTTGCCGCATTTTCCGGGATTTGGTCAGCACGGAAATGAAACAGCCGTACTCCGAGCGGGAAGTATCTACTTCAAAGTACCATTTCCAATTGGATAGTAAATTGTGCTGCCCAGATGCCTGTCGATTGCCGCGACTGTCAACTGATTTGTATTTCGGCAGCATCTTCAATTCCGCTGATTAAAGGAAAGAAACCAGCTTAATCAATTTCCGGCTGGGAGGAAAATTCCGTAGCTCC